CTTGTACAAAATTACAACACTACGATCTGAATAATTTCCTGAATTTGCAATAGGCGCAGTTTTGATTGTTTGAAGTAATTTGATCATTAAATTACTTATTCAAAAGGTTTAAATTACTCAAATTATTGTATAGTATTCTAAATAAAGCCTATTAGAATTATTTATTCAGTTAGTTTTATATGTTGATTTCAATTGAAATGTGGTTGCAGCTCCATCTGCTAGTGATTTGCGAGAGAATATTTTTTGTTTTTGAATTAAATAAATATAATTTTAGTAAGTAAAATAAGTTATCTAAAGATATGTTAAATTCATTAATATATATTTTTTTTAAAGACCCCCGCACTAGAAATAAATCCTGTGTCGCGGGGGACTTTACAAACATACATGAAACGGACACAAAGAACACCCATGATGATGTTTATCTTGAATATTGAGCTTTATTTAAAATTACTTTGTTTTGCTAATAGAGACTGTATTTACTATAACCGTTGTAGAAATTATAAATATAGAATGTCGTAGTGAAACGATACATCAAACTAGCGATCGTACAATAATAAGAAAGTAATTCTAAGTGTGTGTGTGTTCTAAATGGACTTCGAAAGTGGTACCTCTGTATTCGCGCTGATATACACATATTACAACAAAAGTAAAAGCACATATAAAAATATTTAAGTTTGTAGTTCGTGACAAGTAAACGACACTGCCTCGCTACATGCAAAAGTGACACATAAAGAAGCAAACCTCATGTAAAACAGTATCCTAATCATAAAAAAACTGAAAAAAAAAGATCTGAAAAGGGCTATACTGTAATATGTTCTGTAAAACCACAAATTATTTATATTTTTATTGTACATCACATCAACAGCCTTTAAAAGTCCAATGTTGGACATAGGCTTCTCCATAGAAAGGAGCTTTTGACCCACTATAATGTTTTATTAGTATTTTATTATTCGTATTAAATCGATTTACTCAAACGAAACCTTATTCTAGAATATCTTTATACAACTTATATGACAGTTCAAACCAACAATTGAAATACCGATTACCCTTACATCATCAATCAACTTGAATACGATAAAATAATGTTAAAATTGAGGTTTACACAAATACACTATTAAATCCATTGACAACACCGAAATGTCGGTTGACCAACCAAGCCCATTACTTCGATGGCCACTGTTAATACCCACAAAGAGGTGAATAGACTGTTTTATTATTAAACATTATATATTATTTTTATAATAATATATAATGTTAAATTCCCCCCTGCCACTGACCCGTCGGCTCGTTTGCCCTCTCATACCATAAATATATATATATATATATATATTTTCGATTGCTTCGGTGAAGAAAAAAAATGTCAATATATGAAAGTTCTACTTTACTCTAATACCTACCAAATATACGAAAAAAAACATTAAAATTTGTCCAGCCGTTTCGGAGGAGTGCGACCACAAACACCCTGACACCAGATTTCTTTTTTTTTATTATTATTGAAGGGGCAGACGAGCAGACTATCGTCGGGTATTGAGTGACCGATGGAAAGTTACCATCATCGCCTATGAACGTCTACTTCTCAGGAGTCATTTATTTATTACATGATCCAAAAAAAACTTATATTAACTTTAACAGTACATAGCCAGTAAGGCACTCCTGTAACTACCAATAAATGGATTTCATCTCTAGATGTCACTAGGTTTAGGTAGGTTTTTAATATTGTAAAGAAACTAAATATGAATGTTAAATATTAAAATGGTACCCTGAGCCCACTATAAATCTAAATCTAACATCTAATTTCCAATCAAAGTCGTTTAGGGTTCCATTCATTGACTGCACAGAACCCCTTTCGGTCTGAGTTTTATGATTAATGGTGCTTGTTTGTTTGTTTGGGAAGCCGCCGCCATTTTCAACTCGTTAATTTAACTTTAAACTTTGTCTTGCTTACTTAGTTGACGAAAGCTTTCGAATCAATTGTAAGGCTCTTATAAAGGCCCTTTGCAAAAAAAATAGGTAAAGGCATTTTAACTTTAAGTTATTAAGTTAATTAACTTGAACTTGTTTCTAATGGATTTCGTTGTTAAGGCTCATATTTCGGATTGTTTGTTTTATTTGAAGATTTTATAAATCACTCTTGGGTTATTTTGTTGCAACACATGTCACAAATGGTTAATTAATAATATTAATTTATCTCACACATCTCACACACGGCCGTCTGATCCCAAACTAGGCAGAGCCTATACTACGGTAACCAGACCGCTAATAAACATACTTATATATTTTTAAATACATATTATAAATAAATTACACCCAGATACAGAACAAATGACCGTGCTCATCACACAATATTTATCCTGGGTAGGAATCGAACCCGCGACCTCCGGCTTAGCAGTCAGGGTCACTAACCACTAGACCAACAGGCCCGTCAATTGTTTAAAGAAATTTTGTAAGTTGTATTATGTGCTATATAATATAGGGACGAAGGTTATTACTCTAATTATTGATAAGTAGTATGACAGTTATCTGGTACTTTTTTATATAATCTCAGTAACTACTGGTCCGATTTGAAAAAATCTTTCAGTGTTAGATAGCCCATTTATCTAGGAAGACTATAGACTATATATCATCACGCTAAGACCAATAGGAGCGGAGCACCAATGAAGAATGTTTCAAAAACGGAGAAAATTTATTACTATTAAGAGACGCAGACGAAGTTGCGCGGGTCAGCTAGTTGTGTATATTTAGTAAAACTTGAAACAAACCCTATACCAACTCGTCTGGCCAGCGTGGTATAGTAGGCCAAAACCTCCTTTCTAAGGAGAGGCCTATGTCCAGCAGTGGACTAGTATAGGCTGTTGATGTGATGTGATGTGAGGTAAATTAATGCGTTCGCGTAATAGAAGTGATCACAGTCAGTGCAACCCGATTGAAACGTCAGGCGATTCAAAAGTATGTAATACCTATTACGAGAGAGCATTAATTCTCGTATCCTTTTTTATTCCAAAATGTCTTCATAGTAACACAAACTAATTTCGCAGAACTCATCCAAGTAGCATACGAAACTAAATTATCGGAAAAATCTCATCCAATGCTCTCTGAAAAAGTGACCATTTTTACTTCCAATAATAATTCTTGGTATAGATGAAACTGATACGTCTATAGGGATTTATCAAAATGAAAAGGAAACAGTAATGACAGCTGCGTTCGTACATATGATAGCTGTATTATTTTTATGGGCATCACAAAACGATACAATCAAGTTTTACGGGGCCATGTTATATAGTAATCGTAATTGACCAATTACTGAACAACTGGTGACGTTTGAAATTGGTATCGTTATTATTTGCTGTTTGGCTTTTATTTATATTTTATTATTGTATGGTTTTACTATAGTTATATTACATTGTCAGTTTATTTCATTTGTTTTCTTGTGTGACGTCATTTGTTTGCATTTTTGTTGATAACAGATTAAATCATACTTAAACTCATTTTATTTCATAATTTTAAAATGTTTAATTGTTTTATAATGTTCAGAACAATTTCAATGTTTTGAACTACAATATTTCTTATCTGGTTTCTGGTTCAAGTTTCTGGTTCACCTAATCCTAACTTAATATTACAAATGTGAAGGTGCATTTATGTGTTTTTCTTTCACGCTAACCAACCATCGTGTTTTTTTTTGTTAATAATAAAATTCTACCACATTCACACAACGCCATCTAGTCCCAAACTAAGCAGAGCTTGTACTACGGCTACTAGCCAACTGATAAAAAACCATATATACTTTTTTTTGTAAATACATACATATTATACAAAGGAACACCCAGACCAAATCAAACATTAAAAGTTCATGCACACAAATGTTTAACTTGAGCGGGAATCGAACCCGCGACCTTTAGAATAGCAGTCCGTTCACAAACCACTACGCCATCTCGTCGTCTTTTGAATCTACGTTCTTTGAAATAATGAGAAGAATATAGGGTATATTTTACCCATACAGGATACACAGCGATTGAATCTTAACTAATGCAAGCGAAACCTCTAGCAAAAGTTAGTATTGAAAAACTAAAGCATATTTTGTGATTTAAATTTGAGTTAAATTTCCTAAACTTTATTTGCAACTAGTTTAAAGTTACTTTGTAGGTCGAAGACAAAGCCAACTACGTTTAATTTTAGTACAACTGCAAAATTTCCAAATTAGCAAAACTCAACGTGACAAATGAAATAAAATGTCACGTAATAACAGAAGTATGTTTTTGTTTTGTCTTCATCAACATTTCCCGCCAGTGGACACACGATATTTCACTCTTCTCCACAAAAGTAGGCAGAAGGTATTGTAACTTATGCACGTACATAATTCGTCGTAAGTAAACTACGTGGCGAGACCTTTTCTCCGGCAATTTACTTGGAGACGTGCGATCCTTATAAAATGGCGCGGGAAAATACGGCTTTTTTGTTACACTGACACCTGTACAGGCGATAAATGGGTTATGTTTTAAGCCTGCAGCTCTTTGTTTGTGTTTTTGTTATGAAATAAGGTTATATGCAAAAAGTAGGTAACTTTTTGTTGTTGTTTTTAGTTTTATAATTGAAGATTTGACGTATTTAATACAATGAAATATAAAAAAAAGTAACAATCATAGCCAAGGTATCGAAATTTAAATTACATCAAAAAAACTTTTGGTTAAGAGGCTATCAAAACCTCTACACAGTTGATTTACCTCTCCAGTGTGTGTGTGTGTGTGTGTGTGTGTGTGTGTGTGTGTGTGTGTGTGTGTGTATGTGTGTGACTGTCACATATAGCAGTCGTGAAAGTTCAAAAACGTTTGATTTTTTCGTTTCAAATTTAATTCTTGACAAAATGATGTATCATCATCATCATCAACAGCCTTTAATAGTCCACTGCTGGACATAAGCCTCTCCTTAGAAAGGAGGTTTTGGCCTACTATACCACGCTGGCCAGACGGGTTGGTATGGATGTATGGTCCGCATATTATAACAATATGTCTCCTTGTTACAGACTAAACCACGCACTGGCAGGATTGCGGCCTTGGTGGTGGCATGCATGTAACGTTGTGTTACACGCCGCGTGTTGCGCGCTGGTTGCCCGAGCATGTGTAACCATCGCGCGGTTGCAGCGACCGTTCGCTGCACTCGCTGCTTTGTTATTCGCTGTGCATCCTGTACATACTGAGGCGGTGAGTATTTTATTCCATACATGTAGATAAACGTATGTATACTTACGAGTATATCTAGATATTGATTACCTCTTGGGTGCAGTGGTAGCGTATGCGACTGCTGTGCCAAGGTCACGGGTTTGATTCGCGGGTCGAGCAAAATTTTTGTATTCTCTGCAAATATTTGTTGCGGAGTTTGGGTGTTTCCTATGAATAATATATATGTATTTACAAAAAAAAATAACTTCTGTTTTATTTTATTTTAAGGCAACCACTTGTGAAAAGAGAATAATATTATACTAACTTTTAAACTTTCGCGTTCCATGATAAATATTATTAATATATTATTAATATTATTTAACGGGAATTAACGCGATCTCTTATTTAGGGTATTACATACCTCCGGTTTGCCTGACGTTTCGACCAGGTTGCACCGGCCGTGGTCACAGGCTGACTGGCTCATCGGCGCACGCCCTCCGTCGTCGAATCCGTGAAGTAGAAGGCTCTTCATCTACCCGCACATTTTCGATATTGTTTTTGTGTCGCCATGTACCGTCACATACCACACTAACAGTGTCCCTATTCTGTAAGCAAACCGATGAGTCCCTATTCTGGTGTTTAACCGATTACGCAGAAAAGCGAGGTGGTATGTTTTTTAACACTGGATTCCACGCTGTAGATAATTTAAAACCATCTTCCCGATTGAAAGTTTTATGCTTTTTAATCTCAATCGCTTCACGTACAACTCTTGAGTAAAAGTGACGTTCGGTGGAGAGGACTTGCGTGCGGTGAAATTCAATCCAGTGGTTGATGCCTGCATCGAGTGCATGTTCTGCAATCGCTGATTTGCTCGTCTGTCGGTTCTTCACAGCAGCGATATGCTCTTTGACCCTTTCTGCAATAGTCCGCTTAGTTTGGCCTATGTATGAGCTTCCGCAGCTGCAGTCTATTTTATAAACACCCGGAGTTTGTAGTGGCAATATATCCTTCGGTGTGCCGACGATGTTGTGAACCTTTATGCCTGGTGTGTATACTGTCGGAATGGAATATTTCTTTAGTACAGACCCGATCTTGTCCGTAACTCCCTTGACATAAGGCATATAGGCCGGTTGCCTGTTCACTTCTGGATACTTGCGTCTTATTTTCGGTTGCTTCCGTCCTCCTTTCACTTGATATCCGTTACCTTTGAGTACCTCCTGAACATGTTTTAGCCCCTGTTCTAAATGTTCAGGGTCACAGAGATCGTAAGCTCTGTTTTTGAGTGAAGTCATAACAGATTGCAAGTGCCGGGGGTGATGATGAGACGTGGCGTGTAGGTATCTGTCCGTATGAGTAGGTTTACGGTACACACAGTGTGACAAGGACCCATCCGATCTCACGGCTACTTTAACATCTAAGAAGGACAACGACCTGTCCGTCTCTATTTCATATGTAAACCTCATTTTGGGGTGAATAGAGTTAAGATGTTGTATATATTGATCCACTTCTTGTTTGTTTCCTTTGACGATACTGAAAATGTCATCCACGTATCGCTTCCATAGCTTAACGGTATTCGGGCCGAGATTTAAAGCCTTCTCTTCAAAATGTTCCATCCAGATGTTGGCCAGTACTGGGGCTACAGGACTTCCCATCGCGACACCATCAATCTGGAGGTAATGTTGACCTTGGAAAAGGAAATAGTTGCCATCTAAACAGTGTTCAAGTAGATCAATATAGTTTAACGGCAGCCACGTCTCATCATCACCCCCGGCACTTGCAATCTGTTATGACTTCACTCAAAAACAGAGCTTACGATCTCTGTGACCCTGAACATTTAGAACAGGAGCTAAAACATGTTCAGGAGGTACTCAAAGGTAACGGATATCAAGTGAAAGGAGGACGGAAGCAACCGAAAATAAGACGCAAGTATACAGAAGTGAACAGGCAACCGGCCTATATGCCTTATGTCAAGGGAGTTACGGACAAGATCGGGTCTGTACTAAAGAAATATTCTATTCCGACAGTATACACACCAGGCATAAAGGTTCACAACATCGTCGGCACACCGAAGGATATATTGCCACTACAAACTGCGGGTGTTTATAAAATAGACTGCAGCTGCGGAAGCTCATACAGAGGCCAAACTAAGCGGACTATTGCAGAAAGGGTCAAAGAGCATATCGCTGCTGTGAAGAACCGACAGACGAGCAAATCAGCGATTGCAGAACATGCACTCGATGCAGGCATCAACCACTGGATTGAATTTCACCGCACGCAAGTCCTCTCCACCGAACGTCACTTTTACTCAAGAGTTGTACGTGAAGCGATTGAGATTAAAAAGCATAAAACTTTCAATCGGGAAGATGGTTTTAAATTATCTACAGCGTGGAATCCAGTGTTAAAAAACATACCACCTCGCTTTTCTGCGCAATCGGTTAAACACCAGAATAGGGACTCATCGGTTTGCTTACAGAATAGGGACACTGTTAGTGTGGTATGTGACGGTACATGGCGACACAAAAACAATATCGAAAATGTGCGGGTAGATGAAGAGCCTTCTACTTCACGGATTCGACGACGGAGGGCGTGCGCCGATGAGCCAGTCAGCCTGTGACCACGGCCGGTGCAACCTGGTCGAAACGTCAGGCAAACCGGAGGTATGTAATACCCTAAATAAGAGTTTCCGTTAATTCCCGTTAAATAATATTAAGAATAATATTATATTGAATTTCATACGTTTTATAAAAATATTTTATAAATTATGATTCACTCAGTGATACATATTTTCAATACTCATTGTCATTTAAAAGTAGTAATGATTAAATGGTGATCTTTTTTTATATTATTTTAAAGATATTTTATTTTTACTTAAACACGATTTTTTTCAGTTTAACTTCCATATTGATTATACTTTTTTTTCTGGCAGGTAGCCGGAGTAGTGGGCAGAGCCGATGTCTTAGCATGTATATTCTTCCTCTCTTCACTTCTAGTTTATCATAGGTAAGTTAAATATGTTACTTAGAGGTATTCCTAACTTCATACGTATAAATAAGTGTTCCTATATTTAAATGGACATAATGATGAGTCAATAATTGACTAGTCGAATACTGCTACGATACTAATTGGGACTAATCCCACCCAAACGCCCACCACTGTAACTCCTGTACACCAGGATCCACAGCAGTGACCCACGAACACACCGAGTTATGATACTTGGGAAGTCCCAGGAAGAAATTAAACTGTCTTGGAACCCGCAACGAAATTAATCAGAAGAAATTGGAGAAGTTGGAAATACAGTAAATCCACTTCCCTCCTTAGCAAAGCGGGAGACAAAATGAAGTAAAATAGGCATACACCCTTTTAAACAGGGATCAACCGAAAAAAAAGGGTCACGATTCCCAGGCGCTATTCGCATGTGTTGCCCCCATCTACCACGCGATGGACCAGGTGAGTCCATGGAACGCTTAGATATAGGTCTTCTCTCAACTTAGTAGCCTTTTCAAGGCATTGCGAATTTGAAAGAGAATACAAAAGAATAATAATTAGATTAGACTTGCAACGAATAGTATATTCGGCAGCATACCGAATACCGAATATTCGGCGAGGCCCCTGACCGAATAGCCGAATATTAGGCAAAAGTATTCGGCTGGATTTTAGCGCCAAAAACTTGTACAGACGTGAATTAAATTATGTACCTGTTCTATGTACCAAAGACTACTACTTAATAAATGATTATAAAAGAAATGAGAACCTTACCCTTCTAAATATTGATTACCACAATAATTCAAATACATAGAATCCTCCTTTTTTCCAATTCAGAAGATGATTATGTACCTGTGTTATGCACCAATGACTACTTAAATGATTATAACAGAAATGAAAATATGAATATATACGTAATCAATCGATTTTAATTTTTCATTTTACCAATTATTTCTCAATGACAAAATATATTATTTAAGTATTCGGTATTCGGCTGAATAATATGTAGATATTCGGTATTCGGCCGAATATAAGAAAAGCAGCCGAATAGGCCGAATACCGAATAGTAACCGAATATTCGTTGCAAGTCTAAATTAGATTAATTACTTTTTTTTATGGTATAAGGGGGCAAACGAGCAGTCATGTCACCTGATGCTAAGCAACTACCGCCGCCAATGCACACCTGCAATTCAAAAGTCACAAGTGCGTTGCCGTCCTTGGAGTCCTTGGAGTACTAAATAATATATTGTAACGATTGAACAAATCATGCAAAATACAAAGGCATTTAGACATTTTACGTTGACACATATTCTTTTATCCCAGAAGTACTACACATCTTGTTTTAGTAAACGAATGTTACCCTGCGGGGTTCTTGTGAGTTATACAAACGGCTGGATATAGTATGGGCCACTGCAATTCCTTTGGTTGTAATATAACCTTTAAATACTTCGCAATATAAAAAGATACAGTTTACCATAATATTTTACTTAGTAAACGCCACGTTTACCGTGTTACAGCAACATAACACAATAGGTTGGGGTCGGATTGAGGAGTGGGTGACTTTCACATGCGGTGAAACAATAAAACATAATACAGTGCCATCTAATGAAAACACACTGAACTACGGAGTAACTGCTAATCCTCTATCTCGGTTTGGATAATTCTCTCGCCGATTAGCATTTTTTTTTCACGTATGGAAACCCCCGTCGTTCCGTTCCGTCCACCGTTCGTCGGTAGCGAATTGGGTCCGAGTGGAGATCATTCTCCCGGGCCCTCTCCGCCGCCTCTTTCTGTGAGATGACGTCTTCGCAGACGGATGCGACCGCGGTAAAACTATCACTACCAGACATGGAGCGTATGTCAGGCGGGACTCGGTTCCCTATTAGCGACCGAGTGCAGGCAGCCATGCCCGGCGGTTACCGGAACCTACGAGAGCACGCATCAGTCGCATTAGAATAGACTTACGATCAAGTCCACTTAAGTAAATATCAAACTAACAACTAAATCCTTAACAAATATGGATGTTTTATCAGCAATTTGCCGACTCAATTACATGCAACCAAAGACCCTGATTCCCATTCAATATACAACCTACGTGAAACCTAGGGCGAGCATTTAGCTTAATTGGAGAGGCTTACTAGAGTGCTTCTTAGGTAATAGGACGAAATAGGACGAAATGGTGCTCAATAAATATCTTATAGAGTTTAAAATAGCTTTGCGTCAAAGAAGACGATGACATCAAAGTGGTGTTTATGTTACTGTCTTATGGAGTAACAAAGCAATAAGAAACGAATACCAAGTACCGTTTATATAAAATGTGTGAATGAATTTGATGCTTATAACAAGGAGCTGACATAAGGATCGAAAACATTAGTGATCTGTAAATGGGAATGATATTTGACTGTGGGAAAGCTGTGCTTTGGCACATATCCGGTCATCGTCACTACCGAAGCGTCATCTTGAATGTGCATCTGAATTATTCCATTGTTAGAATGTGTCGTCTTTATAATTAATTATCACCCCAATATCCTTGACATATTTAATTAAAAAATTTAAAAACAATGTTACGCATATTATGGTAACAACGTTGGTGTAATTTGTTATACATTTAAATTTTACACTTATTTTTACGTTAATACTTAGCTTTTTAAGTTGCATGTAATCTAACACCTATATTACCATGTTGTGTACATATATTTAGGAACATAACTAAGAACGAAACTGTTAGTGTTAGCTATTTATAAGATTAAGTTTTGTGTTATGATATGTTTTGCGTGCCTAAAGGCGATGGCAGTGATATCACGGCCTCACAGAAAACCCGTGTTAAGCAATCCTTTCTTTGATTTTCACTGAGTGAGTGAAGATACCGGAGCCCAAAGCCAGGTGGGATTTAGGCTCCATGATTAGTGTGGGAGTTGTCGTAGTTTCTCACCATCAGAGGACCCATCTACTCATTTTTCTCCTTATACCATAAAAAAGATATGATTTTTGCACACTAGTTATGATGCTATAATAAAGGTTTCGTGACATTTAAATTTGTTGGTTAGAAAAATTGATGTATTTATTGATATTGATTTTATTGATTGATGTATTATGATTTATTGATGATTAATTGAGTATCTTCCCTAAATAAGATAAAAAGAGCTGTATGGATACTGTGTAGAGTTCTTAATCAGTTAAACCGAATTGCATCATACTTTGTGCTTTGATTAAATCTTTAAAACAAATAGCAATCGATATGTGTAGATATGGGTTACAATTAAAAACCCATAAAAGAAAAAAACAGAAATTATTTTACTCCTTTCATGACTTGGCTATACTAAAACTAACGTTTACATTGGTGAATTTTCAAATAACATAATTACTGTTGTTCGAAAACTCTCTAAACTAAACTAAAAATCACAAAAAAAATTGTTTAGTTCTGTCAAACAACGTTTCCTATTCTGAAACAACAAAATTTTTTTTAGTGATTTTTAGTTTAGTTTAGATTTTTAGTTTTCGAACAACATAATTAGCACCATTATTAGCTTTTAGTAAATTTTCTTACACGACAATTTATCCCAGCTGTTTTATATCTTGTTTAATTTAGGATATAAAATGTCAAACGTTAAAGTACTCAACTACTAAAATTTGCATTGAAAGTGTCAACTAGCACAATGAAATAGCACTTTTTGAACGTTTTACAATAAAAAGGAAACATTGAACGTTAAACGCTGTTAAAGCTTACAAAACAAAGGTATTGTATACTTCAAAATTGTATTTCCATTGGGTTTGAAGTTCTATTGAAAAGCCGATTAAGTTTCTTTTCCAATGAGAAGCATTTGCTTAATCCCTTGATAATGGTACGAGTAAATGTGAAAACTGAGCTAGCATCAGGTAACTTGCTATAACATTGGAGCTGCTAAAATGGCGACTCAATTCTCTTTCATGGGAATAACTTTTAGTTTTGAGTATTTTATTTAAAATGGTAACTTTTTTTTAAAACGTTTTTATCATTTTAGGTTTCAGTACCAATACCACAAGTAGTTAGCGTAGCACAAGTGAAAACTGTACTATTTTTATCGAAAAATATAATCTTATTCTTTAAAAAAAAGACAACTAATGCACTAGGAATACATCCTGTGTCACTTTACAAACACACATAAAACGGGAACAAAGAACACTCAAACTCAGAATTGTCGTCTCATGTGGGGATCGAACCTACAACACTCACTGTAGTAGGAAACAGCGTGGCGACCGCTTAAACCACTACGCCATCAATGTAGTCAAATTCAAACTCTCAAGTTCCCCTAATGTACACGTGAATATGTCCAGTGAGTCCAGTTCAGAATATTTAGGGCTCGTAGTATTGGAGAAAATTTCTGTTGAATGCAGGGACTCCAACTAATTTAATCTAAAATATATAAGGTTATCAGAGCCCAAGCTCCTGATTCTACGGGGAAGGAATAAAATAGCAGCAACGTATCTGTAACTTTTGAGTTGCGGATGTCCATGGGTGTTGGTAGATGCTTAACATCAGATGACCCGTTAGTTTGCCCCCTCCTACTATAAACACAGCAATGATAAAGAATTTACAATTATACACCCCCACATTCACAGTAAACATAGAAACTAAACTTTTTCTACGAGAATTATAAGCAAGACGAAAACATGTAGGCATACCTATATAAATTGTACATATACTTTCTAATGTACAAGCCTCCATCTCTACAAAAAAAAAAGAATAAATAAATCAGTACTTTACAGATCATAAAAAGAATCATAACGAACACCTCTTCATTTTCATTCCGCTCACTTTAGAGCCCCGTGCTAATAAATATACCATATAAAACATTGTCCATTATTTCCAGGCCCACAAGTAACAAGAAGTGCGTATGGCTTAGCGTGGTGCTTGGAGCTCTAAGTATGCTGGCAAAGGAGACCGGCATCATGATATTTATACTCAATCTCGTCTTCGACTTTTATAGATGCTGGCCGTTTGTTAAAAGGTATTGTAATAGATTTTAATCTTCTGTGAAATTTTACTTAATGGACACACTTTATGTACTGGAATAATATGCAATCTTGGGCTTAAATTTTAAAATTGTCCATCAAAGTGACAAATTGACTTTTGGAGTTCAAGAGATTCAATCTTAGAGACAATTTCTTGAACGATCTACACTGATTAGATTTTTATATCGTTTTGATTTCAATACTTTGTTATCTACAAAGGAGTTGACTGGCTTATAAGAAGGAAATCGCAAATGAGGTAAATAGTGTAGTATTTTTATTCGGTTGGTTTGGTAACGAGGTACTCGTATATGGGTTTTGTCATTTTTTGACAATCCAGTATATAGTGTGTGTTCTCTTAATAGCCTAAACTTGTCTTGTAAAGCGAAATTGTGTCTGTCTGTCTGTATGTTATCTCTACAAGTTAGCAAATAGATTTAAGGAAGATACTATTAATGTTTTTAAAAGACAATTATTTACGTTGCTCTTAGACAAACGTTTTTATAGTATTGAAGACATTGTGACATAGTAATAATAATAATAATAATAAAATTCTTTATTGCCACAAATTAGTATATACAGGTTAGACATTTCGAGATTATAGTCCAAACACAAATAACATTATATAGTGTTCTGCTGGTACTTAAAATAGGATAACCTGTGCTATAAGTACCAGCAACCTCTGCAGTATCACTAAAATACATTTTTAGCTGGTTATAAAACAATAAAGATGCAATAAGAACAATCCAAACTACAATAGCTTGAAAGCAAGAAAAACATGCAATTGACTTAGGTATGTGTGTGTGTGTGTGTGTGTGTGTGCGTGCGTGCGTGTGTATGTGTATGTGCACGTGTTGCGTGTGTATGTGTATGCGTGTGTTGGGTTCCGTGATCCGTTTCCTGTTGATCTCGGTGTCAGTGTGTGGGTTTTTGTTATGTTTGTATTTTGATTTCGTTTTAATTCATAATATCGGATGAAGAAGTTCTTCCGCTTCATCATAGCTTAGTTTTAACAGCCAGTCTGTTACAATCCTTTTGCATTCATATTTATTTTTACAGTCAATTTTTAAAACTTTGTTGACTTTTATGTAAGTGAATCGTCCGAGAAAGCCAAAGAATCTATGACTAAAAGATGTCCTGTGCCTGTCAGCTGGTGGAAGTTTAAGCCTGCGTGAAGTTGGTCGCGGAGATACCGAAAGATGATGAGATTTGAGATTTAACGAATGTTGCTTTAGTAATATTTGTAGAATGAAAAGTTGACGCACTGTTAGAACTTCGCAGTGCTCATACAGTTCTTTTGTAGGATAGCGGTATGGTTTAAAGGTGCACACTTTTAATACAGCCCTTTGTGCGCGCTCTAACTTAATAAATTTAGTCTTTAGAGCACCACCCCATGATAAGATACAATACCCCAACAAGGACTGGCACAAGGCATAATAAACTGTTTTCAGGATTTTTGGTTCTGCAACATGCCTTAGGTATTTGAAAATAAAGATGAGTTTACGTATTCTACCTGTTAAAAGTTCAATGTGCGGCACGAAACTAAGACTTTCGATTACATTCGATTACACCTAGGTACCTAATGGTAGCAACATCTTGTAACTGAGGGCAATTGCATGTCAGATAACAGCATGTAGTGTGGTTATGAGCCGTAATAGAAAATCTATTTGGTATACTGTTTTTTTTTAATTTGGAATCTTATGATTTTAGTCTTGTCGACATTAATTGCCAGTGTGTTTTCTGCTAACCACTTAGTTATTCTATTGAAACCGGTTTGCGCCGCATCGTAAACTTCTTCCCACGTTTGGCTCGTAAAAATAAGCGTGGTATCATCAGCAAATGCCAAGAGTTTGCCATTTGTTAGTTTTAATTTGCACATTTCGTTAATATAAACTAAGAAGAGTGTGGGACCAAGGATGCTTCCCTGTGGTACACCATGTTCTATGGGAAGTTCTCTGCTAACGTACCTACCAATCTTTACACATTGTGTTCGGTTTGTCAGATAGCTTATAAAAAGATTCAGTTGTTGGTCCCTAACACCGATACGCTCTAATTTGAGAATTAGTTTGGGGATGGAGACCGTGTCGAAGGCCTTAGCCAGATCCAAGAAGATTGCAAGACTTTTACAAGAATAATGAAGATTACAAGAATAATGCCTGATAATGTTGTACCTAGATAAAAATAAATACATAAATTCACTGTACTAACCTTTTTGTTCACCAGCCAAATGTAGAATGTGGCTAGCATCTAAAATATAAGTTTCTACTAACATCTCTGTATACCCATATTCTGACAAATAAATATATTATTATTCACGCTTAAACCGCTGAAATGATTTAGATGAAAGTTGATATGGAGACAGTCGGAGTACTGGAAAAGGACATAGGCCAGTTTCTATTCAAGAAATCTTCCTTTTAGGGGGTGAAAAGGAGGGAACATGGGGTTCCATCACGGGGGGGGGGGGTCGTCTACTTGTTGTAGATGGCCCGAGGTATGTCGGGGCACCAGGGACTTCCTTTCTAGGGTATACCTGGTTCCCCGGCTATTAGTACCCGAGACAGCGTGCGGTTTTAGTCGGTTCGAGTCCGACATGCCACCGATAGGTGGTATCCGAGGGGATTTCAGCACGAAAAAAAAAAGGGGGAGTGAAAAGGATGGGTAGGTGGGGTATGGGGCATCAATAACCGCTAAACCGATTTAGATAAAATTTGGGATGAAGATACTTTGATTCTTGTGGAAAGACATAGGTTACCTTTTACCGCGATCATCAACATTGCTTCTGGCAAACGCTAGTACTCATATAAATTCTAGCTGTACCTTACCACGCCTCTCTGTGGCACATTGTGATAGCATTAATTTGGGCACAAAACTGAAGCGAAAAATGCATAAAAACAATATTTGAAGGGCTTTGTATATTGTTTCAAAATTTGAACTTAATCGGGGCAGTACTTTTTAAATTTAACTCAACATTCAACTTTTTTAAGCGTAAACAAATCAACTTAACATTTATATTTATGTATATAGATATCATCAACAGCCATTACTAGTCCAATGATGGACATAGGCCTCTCCTTAGAAAGGAGAGCTGGGCCTACTATACCACGCTGGCCGTCTGGCCAGCGTGGTATAGTAGGCCCAGCTCGCTAGTAGCAGCTAGTATGAATAGGGGTGATGACATTCCGTATTCTTAATCGGTCACCACACGGACACGGTTAGATATAACTATAGAAAAAGACTTAGGCTGAAATCAATTTAGTCAGGAGTAAATAAAAAAGCACTCCACGTTTTACGGCTATTTATTCACTTTAATGGGCGTTTATCCCTTTCCAGCGTTCACAACACATTTTATATGGGGCCCATATTCATAAAACATTACAAAACTATTTACAACAGGTTGGTTTTATGTTTTACTATTGAAACATTGACACGAGTAAGCACAACGACAACCAATGTAGTATTTATGGAAAAATAATGGAAATTTACTTTCATTATTTTTGGTTACTAAAATGGTTCCACGTTTTAGTTACCATTATTTTCAGATAAATGTTTAGAATTGATTTGAAAAGTACTTTGTATAAAAAAAACTTTAAATCAAGTAATTTCATAAAAATATTATTCGAATGAACTAACAGACAGGAGAATTCTGTGTTTCCTCTAAAAATCACCACTAGCACCCTACTCTGGGGAGGACCTGGACTAGCGACTGCTTTTAGAACAGAGAATGCTAGTAAATAGTACAATGATAACAAAAACAATAAAAAACTGCATTGATGTCGTAGTGGTTTAAGCGGTCACCTCGCCGTTTAGTACAGCGCTGAGTGTTGTGGGTTTGATCCCAACATGGGACAACGCATTCTGTGATCCACAAATTGTTGTTCTGAGTTTGTTTGTTCTTTGTGTACGTTTCATTAATGTTTGTTAATTCCCCCGCGCCACAGGATAAATTCCTAGTGCGGGAGTCGCCGTTCAAAAAAAACGTTAAAAAGGAGATATGGGGTTAAACTGTCATAAACTTCATAGCAGAAACATAAAAATATTAATTTGGCTCTTCTCTTTAAATCCTGCAATAAACAACAGATATGCTTTCAAATATAAATCCAAAAGAAGCTATGTGCCCAAATACATTTACGGTTCAGATTTAAATGTTCTTTTCAAGTGCATACGTCTTAATATCAAGTTACAAGCGACATCTGAAAGTCACCATTCATTATAATAAAACTAAATATTTAACACACAATCGCTCAACAAGTACCGTGTCCTCGCGACCTTTTCTGTTCCTCCATCCCTGAAGAACACTTGTGGCGTTTATTTGCTTCTCGTTTGTAGCACTTTGGATTTTTCTAACAATGCTTGTATTTTGTACTACCTATGTTTGTGTTAGTGATGAATATTTTATGACTCTTTGCCGACACACAAAGGACTATGATTATTTTAACAAAGCTGACGCTGAACTAGGATTAAAGTCACTGTACGAGCAAACCCGCACATTTGTAGTAGTTAATGAAATTAGCTTGCGTTCACTCATTTGTATTGCACTCGTATTACATAGGCACTTACTTTACATACATAATTTTTATACATAATTTAGTAGCAATAAAATCATCATTCGGTAAAGTTGTCTACTCATTTATCAAACCAGCAATCTATCAGTAATGTTAGGGAAACTACCCCTACATTAATGGTCCTTCGAGTGTAACCGTAACACGGGACTATAACGCTAGTGTTCGATCAAGAATATATCGTGCGTCCGGTTACTGACTATCAGCGTACCTGTGGTCACTATCAGCGTCACTTCACGCTAAGAGCAGCCCCAGGAGTAAGCACAGCAGCACACGTACAGCCTGGCTTCCAGTCAGCAGTATTAAAGTAAGATCTTTCCTTTTTTTTCTGTACATCATGAGCCAAACAATGGAGGATCTTGCAGAAAACCAGAATCAAATAATGGTGGCCATGAACCAGTTGTTAGTTAATTTTAAGAAAACTGGGCATGAGCGTAGGA